CGAAGCTCCCTGCCGTTCCCAGAGCCTCCGCGGAGCTGAGAGGAGACAGGACGTGCCCCGGCAGGTGCCCGGGCGTGAGTCACGTCTGAGGCCCTGCCAGGAGGGAGGGGCAGGAGGGCGGGCCTTGGGGTGCGGGAAAGAGAAGGGATTTTCCCTGGTGGTCAGAACACGGGGTGCGGGGGTGCGGGGGGTGCATTGGGAGCCGGGGAGCTAGAGCCATTGCTCACAGTGGGCCACGGGCGATGTCCACGGGGCCTGGTGACAAAGTTTCACGCCTGTAACCAAGTCGGCTACACGCAGCGCGGCTGCCACAATGTATCAACCTGTGAGTGACGTGGGCGCCCCGGGGGCCCCGCCCCCCGTTTCCCAGATGGGAGGGCAGCACCCAGAGGCGTCGGGCGGTTTATCTGGAGGCTCCCAGCAGGACCGAGCCTCCCGGTACCACCTGCGTCGTCAGCATCAGCGAGATGGTTCCCCTCGCCTGCCTGCGGGTCCCACCCAGCGCCCCGCCCTCCTGGCTCTCGCCGACCCCACCTGTCTGGCTGGTGGCCGCTCTGCGCCAAAGCTCTGGATTCACACCGGGGCCTGACCCGCCGCCCCCTTAGGGTCTGTGCCCTGGACTCACGCCGCACCCAGGGTATCAACCGACATTAAGAATCAGACAGAAGGCACGGAGGGACCTGGGTTTGCAGCAGATCCTGGTTCCTGCTCCCTTCGGTCCCTCAGCAAAAACAAACAAACACGCGCCAAACACCAGGCCTCCTAAATGAGCCCCAACGAGAAGCTCAGGAGGAAGGAACACGCTGACAACAAGAGGACTCCTGGCTCATAACCCCCCCCCCCCCCCCCGCCGCTGTCTCCCCTGCCCAGGACCCGGCAACCAGGGGGTGACGTCACTGAGCCGTGAGCCCCTTGCAGACGGGGCCCAGCCCCCCACGGAAAACAGCCTCCACCCCCGCCCGCACGATGCTTCGAGGAGTTTTCCAGCAACAGTACAGACTTGCTCAAGTCGACAACATCACCGGAAGCCACAGAAATGGGGGGCCGGGAGAAGTCCTGGGTGTCACCTGGGAAGACGGCAAGGGGCTGGGGGGACAGGGTCTCAATCATCTCTACCCGTGTCAACTGAGCAACAACAAAACCTTAGGTCTCGCTCCAACCACAAACCGACCCCAGAGAACTCACATCCGCCGTGCGACCCCATCAGGCGCTGCCAAGCGGACTCGAAAAAGGGACCTTTGGTGGATGCTTTTAAAGAACGTTTCTCCTTGGAGACATTCAGAAATATCCAAGGAGCCCAGACAAGGGGGGGATGAAGAGGCCCCTGTGGCCGTGGCTGGTGTGGCTTGGTGGTCAGAGCGCCGGCCCTCAGACTGAAGGGTCCCGGGTTCGATTCCCGGTCAAGGGCAGGTACCTGGGTTGCAGGTGCGACCCCCAGCCCCGTTTGGGGGTCTGTGCAGGAGGCAGCCCATCCATGTGTCTCTCTCACATCGACGTTTCTCTCTCTCCCTCCCTCCCTCCTTCCCTTCCACTCTGACAAAAACCAATGGAAAAATATCCTTGGGTGAGGATTTTAAAAAATAAAGATATTTTCTTGATGCTTTTGAAGAATGGCACCCAGAAACATCCCCTCAGCCCAGATAGGAGACGCTCCAAGAGCCCTGCTCAGAGCTGGGGGTCCCCCCTCTGCATCCGTGCGGTTTCCTGCACCCTAGACCCCCCCCCCGC